GGTAATCTCATTATGTTTACCACGGCGTACAAATGCTGTTACAAACCTTACCAAATTGAGATTGCTTTCACATCACCTTTAAATGTCATTTAGCATCATCTATAAATGTCATGACACGAGTGTTGACCTTATCATTCCGGTTAGGCTGTTTTAGAGTTATGGTTACAAAACCAACTCGCACTATAGTCAGAATGTGGAACAAGGTAAATATGAACTAACGTGCTTCATTGAACTTGCATTTGTCTTGTATGCTTTCATAGTACGGTTGATTGTCAACTAAAAACTGTTCATTGTACAGTGTATAAATGGCACAGATAGTAGCCTACTTATGTACAATTGCTAAACATGTTAGGTGTAGAATGTGTGACAGTTAGTAGATTATGTCAAAGATTATGTTTTTCCTGTGACAAAAATGATTTAGAAGATGAGATACATTTTATTCTTATTTGTCCTGCTTACTCTGTATTGAGAAACACATACATTAAGCAATATTACTTCCGATGCCCCAGTGTGTATACATTAATTGAATTATTGTCATGTAAAAGTATTAAAACATTACGTAGATTGGGTCTATATTTAAAATATGCTACCGCCAAAAGAAAAACCCTCGTGCAGTAATATTGCTAAGTTATGTATTCTTTTTATGTGATAATTGCTTATATGGAATTGTCCTCCGCCATCTTGAAAATTTGAAATATATTTTGTATTCTATGTATCAATTAACCTATATGCTGATTTGCATTCGGAAATAAAAAACTTGAAAAAACTTGAGTAGATATATGGCATTGTATTGTTTTGTATCATTTAAGAACGTTTCAGCTCATTCAATTGGTTTATAACATTCAAGTTTATGGAATAATAGCAATGGGTGTTCACACTGATAACACGTATCACATGTCGGTTTTCTTATTTTGCCACAGATGTATCTATTTATTCCACGCGCCCCATGCGGAAGACCAATGTGGGATAACTTTATCCCACATAGATGCACTCGATGACACCAGCTTAGAATCTACATTGTTTTCTGAATGTTGACTATGGGGTGCATAAAACCAGATGTTTGAGTTCAGAATGCGCAGTACCATATCGGCCGTTCTGAAACATGACGTCATTTTAATTCAATACGTGTCGTCATTAAATTGACAATTTGGTCAGCGGAAGAATCAAGACTGCATCAGACATCGCCTCACGGAAATAAACGATTATTAAAGAAATGAATGCGAAATTAATTCCAAAATATATAATTACAAAACATAACTTCGGTATACTATACTTTTTTCTGCTCTTTCCGTATATTTACCCGTATACGGATGCTCATAAATCCACTATATTTATTTGGTAGTCGCAATACTTTCTCAAATTTTCAAGTAATTCCCTCTCAAGATACGGGAGAACTAGAGTTTCTCATTATGTAGGAATTGCGGATAGAATTTTTTTACCCGAGGGCATAGCATTTGTGCTCAGAAAATCGGCAAAACCTCGGTGCCGACTTAATTTTACACCTTTGGGTAGAATTTCTCTATCTCAACCCCTCCTACCTAAATATGTTAGATTCTTTTAGTCGCAGAAATCATTTTTATTGTTTTCTGTAGGCACACTGTGTACTTATTTGTCACAAATACCCATATTTGACTGAACAGACGTACTTAGCTGAAGAATATACTGGTATGATATTGTAACATGGATTTTATTATGTTTTGTTGATTGATTTGCAGTTAACCCCTGCACAAATCTAACACGAATCATTGTAAATACATGGATTTTCTTATTTGAATATTTTACGCTTATTCATCCGAAATTCAAATCGAACGGTTGGATATTGTTTCTTTGGTTTTCTATGACAAATGCAAGCTTTTTAATATAGACAGGACAGGTTTACGCCATGCATGTGTTATATTTTTCTTGTATCACGTGGTCCGATAACAATGAGTGAGCCCGTTATAATGACATAACGTGCGTGTTACACAGTAGGGGGCAGGTTAGTAGTATTCTCAGGATGTAAGTGTTATCAGATAGCGGGTATTGTAACATTATTAGAGGCCATTAATTGCCACTCACGGCCCGGAATCTGTTATTTCTCATGTTGTATCGGCGCTAATGTTTACCTTATATCTTTCACTGGGCCTAGATTGCCCGATGACGGTTCTGTGCCTGGGCCTGTGTGTGGATACATGTGTTCAAAGTCGGAAAGTCTTTACTTTATACGAATCCTATGGTAAAAAGTACTAATTTTGTAATTAATTTAGATATCCATAGTTCACCTCTTTTAATTGCAATTTGACATGAATTACATAGCGTATATTACTGCTTACAGCTTACATAGCGATAACAGTGGCGGCGAGATCCGTGGCATACGTCTCTAATGCTACATAGCGAGCTAGGCGAGTGTTGGGGGGCATCGTTATGTATAATTACAGACTTCTTTAAATGAATTGGATGTTCCGCCACCAACAGTCTTCACAGCAATATGTTAAACGGACTTTGTATTTATATATTTCTTTCGAGCGTGGTGGAACACGTTGTCGAAACTGATTCATTTTAGTAAATGCTTGTGAGATTCCAGATTTCATTTACACACAAAAAAATGACAAGGGCGTGTTTTGCAATTCGTCGGTATTCTCGTTTGGGAAACAGTAACAGTAACCATTATGTATTGTCGTTTTGAAAAATATTGTATTATTTCGAATGAAAAAACAGAACAGAATTATTTATAGTTCAACAGTTAAAGGGTGTTAGTGAATAAACATAAAATTAATCAACCATGTTCACAAAATACATGTAGATATCAGAAACATAGTTCCGTCTTCCGGGAACAGTCGATGAATCAGCACAAACTCTGTATCCGTGTTAGCGTCGCAGACTAAATATCTGTGTGGTGTATGATCGTTTATTCTTAAATCACTGAGTTCTATGAAAGAAAAAAACAAGCAATATATATGTATACTTTATTTTTCACTTTAGAAACACGGTGGTGGTATGCAGAAACACGGTGATGGTATGCAGAAACACGGTGATGGTATACAGAAACACGGTGATGGTATGCAGGAATCTCCAATATATATCTGTAATGTAATAAGCACGCTTATGGTATGCAAGAATCTCAAGTATACATCTGTAATTTAAAAAGCACGCTTATGGTATGCAAGATTCTCCAATATTTATCTGTAATTTAGGAAACACGCTGATGGTATATAAGAATCTCAAATATAAATCTGTAATTCAAGAAACACGCTTATGGTATGCAAGAATCTGAAATAAGTAAGTTAAACTGTTTTGTAATTTCACCTTGCAATATCATAACATCAATTGTGATGTCCGATACACAACGTCATTAAGTTTGACCCCTCATATTGGTGGCCGTTAGAATTCCAGCGTTATCTAGCGGAATAAAATGTTTATTCAATTCACGACTATTCTGAAATGATTTGCTATACTAACCTGAGAATCTAGGTGAAGGAAGGAGTGAGATTGGTTTGACAGAGACCAGGCGTGGCTATTTTCACAGTACTGGCCATGCTCCGTACACACTGACGATGGTTCGTCCCCCTCCTCAGCTCCTTCCCCCGTCACTCTGTCTCCCCGAAGGAAAACTATTTACTCTGGGGTAGACCTATTGGTGCGCTTTTGTACAAACAGATTAAGCTATGCTATCTTTTATCTTTGGTTTGTATGGTTAATTCTCAGTATATAAATATATATTATGCGTACATACGAATGCTTTTCTCTGGATAGAATCACGAATAATTTCAGGAATTAATCACAAAAATATATATAGTGAATCAACCAGAGGCGCATACGAAACGGCATGAAACACTCCTTCCCAGCGATTTCTTTTTCACTAAAGAAAACATCTTTTTCCCAACATATTTTATCACAGACATATTCTATTTAGAGGTTCCATTTTGACCCACGTTTAATCAATAATTTTCCATTATTTTTTAATTCCCGTGTCTTTCATTTTATGGTGTCAAAAGAACAAACATTTTACCATACATTATAACAAAATGTTTCAGTGTGTTGACGGCAGTGTTAAGAGAACAATATTTTACGTATTAAGACATTACAACAAAATGTTTCAGTGTGTTGACGACAGTTGTAAGAGAACAATATTTTACGTATTAAGACATTACAACAAAATGTTTCAGTGTGTTGACGACAGTGGTAAGAGAATAATATTTTACGTATTAAGACATTATAACAAAATGTTTCAGTGTGTTGACGACAGTGTTAAGAGAACAATATTTTACGTATTAAGATAATACAACAAAATGTGTCAGTGTGTTGACGACAGTGTTAAGAGAACAATATTTTACGTATGAAGACATTACAACAAAATGTTTCAGTGTGTTGACGGTGAACGTAATAGATCAAGCCTACACGTGATGACGTGTCAGGGCGTTTTGTCTATAGTCATACATGTAGTATGAGTATGTACATATGTGTTATAATGATCAATAACACTTGTGTAGCACGTATGATCGGGGCTGCTGCCAAAGATTTTAAAGTGCGTTGGTAAGACAAGATTTCTAGTTGACTTTGTACTTAACACGTGTCATCCTTTCCTGTCATTTATTTTTTTGTTTTCATTTCAATGACCTAACATTCTTCTTCCGGTTTTAATTGGTTGGGTTTCTGCTTGTTTCGATTGTTCTGCGTCGTTGTAAATATATCCTTGTTTACTTATATTTTAATAGTATTCCGACAATGCTGAAAATGTACTTGCGATTTATTTCGCTGAACAACGCAACTTGTCGATTGTTTGGAAAATATCTGGTCTCAGAGTATGATAGCTGATCTGATCTCAGAGTATAATAACTAATATCAGAGTATAATGACCACTGATTTTAGAGTATAATAACCGCCAGTCTTATGAAAAGCCTACTGTGTGTTTTTCTTATAACGTAATTTGCTTAGAGAGTCTAGTTTTAAATTAAAACGAAATTCTAATATCACAAGCAGACGATCAGTATAACTAGTTACACAAGACAAAAACAATTATATTTATTTCAAATCGCCATAGATTTTTATTATCGATCAATCTTTCGCTGCACCATCATACTTTGTATATTCTTACACACATATTTTACAACAACAATCGTATAAGGCAGTTAAGGATGATGGCATACACCCACTCCATGAGTGACGTCACACACACATATTATAATTGTCGCAGTCACGTCCAATTAAGGTGATTCCACAGTCAGCACACAAGGAAGGTGAAGACGAACATTTACACTTACACACGTGACTCTGGTACATTTTGATACTAACAAAAGAACATGAAACATTTTAAAATTAATTACTAATGAATCTTAACTAATGAGCTATTCCAGTAATTAATATTTGTAAATCAAGCAAGGGAAGAAAATCTAAACGTATTAAACAATCTGTACATTGCATCACATATAATCCATATATGCATAAAAAATTATCTCTTCATCAACATTTTCTATTATTCTGTACAAACCATCCACATTTGAGAAAGAACATAAAACAATATGTATATGACTAGCTTAAAAATGACAAAATAATGTTTGTATAGCGTTATACAAACTTACAATACTGAGATTGGGTAAAAACCATAGGAATGTGTTCGAGACGAGTTCAAAGCGAGACGACAATTATAGTCGGCGTTATGCCTGGTTTCTCCTGAGTAAGACTGAAATCAAGTATTTACATTGATCTTGTAAAGCAAACAAATATGTAATGTCTTTGTTATAGGCGGGTAATTGAAAGCAAACTTGTGTTCCTGTGATACGTGATTACAAATGACAAAATACTTATTAATTGTGACTTTATTTAAGATTAAATCTTTTCGCACCAAAATCAGTATGTGTGGCCACTTGGGAGATTTTTGTTAGATCAGATAGAAATAAAAAAATCATGTGTCCTTTTTGATGATAATCATTTCTGGTAGAGAATGTTACCTATTGGCGTTATCATTTCTTATTTATCATGGATAACATTTACGTTATATCGACGCCAGAAATACTGGAGCTGGTGCTTGCTATCAACATTGTTTGTTTGGTTTTTGTCAGTTTTTGTTCAACACTTGCCACATTGTCATGTTGGATGAATGCCAATTTATAAAAAATATGTATTTTAATAAGTTGCTGTCATTTCGAATCAAATGGAAATAACCAAGAGCAATTCTCACATAAAACAATGAGCAGTTACCTTACGAAACAATTAATGCTGTAAAATATCAGGAAACAGTTCAAATAAAATGAAAATAGAGAATGACGTTCTCAATGTGATTCATCACCTACAATTACTTAAGAATTCTTTGATTTCGCTCTCTCTGAAACAGAACATTCTCTGATACTGTCGATATCATGTACGATGACATTCTGAGTATAACTTACATTGAAATAATAAAATAGCACGTGTCTGAGATTTAAATATTCTTTGTTATCCAAACTGTCAGTAGCCGCTGAATATGCAAAACCAGACATAAGAAAGCGCTAAGTATGTCTAACTTCGGAAACTATAGATACAGCATTAGACACATAAAGTCAAATATTTATCAAAACCGTTCATTTTACATATCATCATATTGTCAGCATAAGGTGCATTCCTGATGGTATATTTTGACATGGCCATTATTGATCATGACATAGTAAACAGGCATTAAATTAATCAAACAACCTCTTCTAGTTTGTTTATGTTGTGCATCATCCGTAATCCCGATTCAATACACTCTGAGCATAACTTTATCCTTACCAAGCAGGATTAGGTGGGGAAAGTGTTGTTTTGTTGTTGATTCAGGGTTACCTTCTCTACAGGTGACTTCCGGGTCACTATGTCTCTAGGTGACTTCCGGGTCACTATGTCTTTAGGTGACTTCCGGGTCACCACATCTCTATGTGACTTCCGGGTCACTATGTCTCTAGGTGACTTCCGGGTCACCACGTCTTTAGGTGATCATTACTTTTTATGATACAGAAACGTCACTTGTAGATTAATAAACCACCTGTCACGTGTTTCATTGTCACCAGGCTCGTATCCCCTGGTTTAACTGTTGTTGTGAAATGTATCCACTTTGTTGAATTTGGTTCATTGGGTTCATCGTTGACACGTGATTGTTCATGGTGTTTCCGTAAGGTGGTGCTGAGTAGGCGAACGGGTTGACATTATAAGGCGCGGAATACGGTTGTGTGACGTTCTGGCACGGCTTGCCGTCCCTCACCAAGACCGGGACATGGACCCGACGAGGTGGTCCCGGCTGCATGCTGACCATTTCCACGTTTTTATCCTGTCGTTGGCGCTTACATTTGTATCTCCTGTTTTGGAACCATATCTTAACTTGCGTTGAGGTAAGTTTCAGAATATTTGCTAATTGTTCTCTTTCCGGTGCGGATAAATATCTTTGTTGTTTAAATCTTCTTTCTAATTCGTAAACTTGGGCCTGAGAAAATAGTACCCTGGGTTTTCGTTTTTGTCGTTGTTTCATTAGATGGCATTCTGCTTGTTTGTCTTTCGTAGTTTTGTCTTTCTCATTTTCGTTTCTGGAATCGTTAAGGATACTTGGTTTATCTGAAAATACACAAAGCAAAACAAGATTAAAGTTCATGTTCGTATGAGGAAGTATTCACCTTTAAATACCTCTGTGTGGTTCGTATTCGCAACATGTGTTAGTAAGGAGGATATGTTGATACTTTCTATACAAATCCACAGGTTTGGTTGAGTTATAATACATATCGATTATGTATAACTATATAAAATGCATTTTTTTAAAATTTTCTGATCACGGATCACTGTTTTCTTGGATAATAATCAAATTCCCAAATTTACCGATTGTGTAGAGTTATACATTTAAAGCAACAAGTTTGAGAGATGAAGTGGGCTGAAACTTACAATTAAATTTATCAGAGGAAAGGAAATGAGTACAACGAAACCTATAAAATGTATCTTAAAATTCAAACAATCAAATATGAGCAATACGAATGGGGCAATTAGTGTAAATCGAAATAAAAATATAGCTTTGTTCTCTCAAGTTGCTATATAATGGTAATTAAGTGTTGTAGTTAAACTAGAACACAGTTAAGTGCATGTTTAAGGAGTGCATTCCGGTCGTCTTCTCACATACAGTATAACCAAGTGTAATTGGTGTAGTGTACAGCTGGGCTCCAGTAACAGTGGATTGGAAATTCCCAAATAAAATTTATTAGAATAAATTTATTAGAATAAAATTTATTAGAATAAAATTTATAATGTGTTACAGAACACCATCCACATTGAACCTTTTATTTATAATGTTTGTAGAACTGTATGTAAAAGATATCATTTGCGCCGTTTTGACTGAGAAACATCACCGTACGGTTGTGTACATGCAGCCTTATCACTTTCAGTTTGTGTGTTAGTTTTATTGATGGCGAGGTCATGCGGACGGATATGATGTATATTTCAGTCACGAACAAACCTCGGCGTACAGCGACAACTTAGTAATTCATTCTTTATCCTCATCATCTTGTGATGAAATAAATCATTTATGAATCATGTTTATTGATTTGGGCAGGGGGTAATATATATATATTGAGAACTAAAACCATGTAAAATATAAATATAAACTTTATTTTTTTTACAACAATTATGAAACAAGTTATTTCAACTTATATTAATCACTCTTGTTAGCCTGGATGTTAGCGTGTAGGGGTCTTAGTCTGGGAGGAAACCGGAGTACTCGGAGAAAACCCACGTGATCGGGCAGGTGACCCCAACCTTTTCACGTCCGATCGGGGAATCGAACCCCGGCCGCCTTGATGAAAGGCAAGTGCGCTATCTTTGCACAACCCGACCACCCTTCCCACATTGTCAACTAAAATCCCAAACACATGGTCAACTTTCCTTCAAGAAATAGAAAATGAAAACTGAAATAACTTATGTTGGATCGTTGACTAGCGCTGCAATAGAAAACAATTTTATGTCAGAACTATAAAATTAAAAAAAAAAAGAAAATGTTAAAAAGGGAAAATTGCGTTTGTCTGGTTCTCTCTGTATGTGGCTTTTGTATCCGACGCAGATTAAATGTACGGGAAGGTAAAGACGACATGTTTTGTTGACATTATGTTTAGTTTTAGCTCGCCGGGCTCGACTCCGTGTGTGGTTCACTTAGTAAACAAACAGATAAACACCCGTACAACACTAAACAGTTAGTTTTACTGGCGAATCTAGCTTTCTTTCACACATCTGTTATCGGGTCGTTCCAGATCTAACGTTTTAGTGTGCAGTTACATGCCCATTTTGAATCATGTTTCCCATAAGGTCATAACAAGGTCAACCAGTGCTTTGTGTGGTCTGCGATATATCAGGACAACTATACCGGCGACAATGTCTCACCATGTTATAGTCGATTTGTTCAGCGTACTAGACTGGGACTTTTAAATGAAAATCTGCATATATTTAGGGTATAATCACGCTGCAATGCCTGGCAAACCACTGACCACTGAGCTTTGGAAGAAAGGCAAGTCACCCAATAGAAAATATATTATAAAAATTACGTACAGTACATATTCGGAAAAAACGGAGATCATTGGATAGTCATACAACAGATTAACGGACGGTTAATAAGACAAGTAGACGGAACCATGGACAGACAGAAAACAAATTAACGGAAAGACTAGTAGACGGAACTATTAGCAGACAACAGTGAAACGATCGGACGAAAAGATTAGTTGATGGCGACCAATTGACAGAAAAATGTAGAAACGTAGAGTAAGGGACGCACAACAAAATAACTAAAAAATGAGGGAATTCACGAATGATTGTGAGCGCTATGTGGTTTTTGGACGACTTCACTATTACAAAGATCAACAGTGGGGCGGTTTTCGCGGATATTAGAACCAACTGTACAACTGTGGCGCGGTAATTGGTCCTATACCCCAGCACTTTCTTTATACTTTGTTTCCAGACCCGCAGGCTGAGACACCATGTATACGGCAGCCTATTGCTAACCCCTCGTCTCCAGCTTCACGGATATACTAATGTTCACGGAATGTCATTTCTTTATTAAAATTAAGTGGCTGTTGATTAAGTACGGTGTCTTTATTTCCGTAGTATTAATTGGAAACACTTTTGAATATTCAACTCCACGTGGACCGGCGAGGATGCGGAGCGCTTACACGGAACCGGATGGTGTTTTTATTATAAGGTCTTTGATAAGAGAAACATAACATTTGCATGGAGTATCGGGAATATTGGACAATTAAAAGTTGTGTTGAAGGTTGAGATGAGTTGTAAATACATTGTATATGTGTTTAAACATATGACGATTAGTGAATATATCAAGAAACGCAAAGCGGAAAAGAAAACAAATTATCCAGGCATTGACACTAGGTATACACACACAGCAATCTTGGTTGTAATGAAGGGTTATGATTTAAACACACAAAAACCGCTGGCATGGATTCAGGAAAATAATCCCGGAAGACTAAGGTTTTCCCAAATCCCTGACACACGTACCGGAAATACGACTCACCTGTCTACGGCTTATGCGCGAGAGGCGGAAGTCTCATGTTTTAAATAAGAGGATTTACTCGGAATCCTGGAACAATTTCAGATTATGTTTATCTGTGCATCATTTCAATTACGTGTATTAGAAATATAATTTAATACTGGAATTAAAAACATGTTGATTACCTAGTGCTTTTCTTTAACAGTTTTTCTTTGTTTCAGAGGAGATGGATTAAACATAACCCCTAGCTTGTGATCCAATATCACTCTGGTAAATGTATTTTTGAAATGAATTTATTTATCAACAATTACTAGAACTGTCCTTGTTACAATATTATTATAATCTGTATAACATGTTCACCAGTCGATTATGATAAATAATTTAAGCCAATAAACAACATTCAGTAAACAGATACATTGAAGCAAAAACAAGATTTTTCCGATGTTGGTCATAAATATCAAATTAGTTCTTTCTTTGTCATGTCATTCGATATTCCTCTAATTTCATTGACATCCTCAAGTGTTTAAATAAATATCTTCAGGCCTTTTTGTCAGGTTATTTTTCCGGTATCTCGGTTGGCTGAAGGAATTATTTTTATCTTGTTCTTTTCCTCTCGATGAAAGAGGCCAACGTTTGTAAACAATTACACTGGCATCTGAAACACACGTACACATTATCAGTGACCCGGGTTTGTCCCGGGCCTGATAACTTCTGTTGGGTACGGCTCCATACGTGGAGCGATATATATATTGGGGAGGGGGTATGTTAACAAGGGTGATACGCTGGGGAGGGGGAGATGGTCTGTCCCTTCCGGAATGTTTATATTTACATACTGGTGGGCAAATCTGCTTCAATGACGAGAGGTAGTAAAAGCGATTATTCATTGTATACTTAGTATAAAGACCCTCTCTCCCCCGCATCACTATAACCAAGGCTAATGCCACGGTTGAGTAACCACCATCAGCTTCTGTAACTTTATACAAACTAAATACCAGAGATATCCCAAATAACAGTACCCATTCGGTACTCCTCGGAACACAAGTCCACAACTTCACAAGGGTATACAATAACTCATAAATAAGCTCCGCGTGTGATGTGGTTACGGTCCTCTTGGAATCACGATGAAGCGTGAAATCTGCCAGATATATGAAGCAAGCAGGGAGGTACACATTTTATTGCCGTATATTTAGACCCAACGAACTGACTGACCCCCTTTTCTGATGAAAAACAGTTGACGATTATTTTTTTTCTGAAACTTTATCAGCCATCGGGAACGTCGACTAAATGCTTAAACTATGAATGGAGGCTAGTGTATGGTACAATATATATTAAATATACATGGCGTACTATTTATAAGGAAACATTTTATAATTTTGAAGCTAGTTGTAATACATTTTGATATTCGTTTTATTTTGGTAGAAAAAGACAATAAACTATAAACTTGTAGATTAAATCAAGATAATATCTACGTGTAAATAAACATTTATTTTATGACCGTCTCACGTCTGCCGCAGGGGTTGATAGGTTTACGTAATTCCCAACGTATTCAACATTTTCCTTTTCAGTTTTAAATGTTTTATTAAATCATTTTATGCCCGGTACAATGTACATGTATATTGTGAGCTTAAATTTGTATTCAAATTTGTATATTACTTTCGTGAAATGTCTCCGCTACTCTCATATAAGATAGCGTACTGACATGTAATCTCCAAAAAACATTCGGCAATAAGTTCCCTTATACCGGACAGTATCATTAAACTACCACTGAATCTCCCGGTTTTATCTAAAGCCATTTTACCTCTAGCATACCCAGTACCAGGGTACAACATACATGTAGCTTAATCACCTTATTAATTCTCGTATTTAAAAACTACTGTTCAAATTCGTAATGCAAATATTTAAAACAATGCTTTGGTGTATTAAGTGTAGAAAACAACGGTTTATTTCAATATACAAAATTGAACAATTACTTATTGTTTGGAAATATTCAGTTGTTATTAAAAAAGTACACGGAAAATTTAAAATATTTTAATAAAATCAAGAGAATGTGACAGTTTCGTACTATTTTTCGAATACCTCTAGATGTAGATATTAAACAGTTTTTCGTGGGCGTTTTTATCACTTCCTTTGCCAAACGTAAAGATTTAAAAATAAAATAAAAAAAATAATACTTGTTTTGTAAGTTGCACATATTAGTCCGGCACCAGTCACGAAAACTGCGTGTGTTTAAAAATTGCGGATAGAATGAAATTGAAATTGCCAGATGATTCTGTGTTGAAAACTTGCAGAGAATGAAATACAGTTCCTGACAGGAAATCGCTTTAGGAAATTGCATATGTGAGATTTATATCCGAAATTTAAACATCTGTGGCTTAGAGATCGTAGCGATAACTTTATACATTTTAATAAAAGTTTCCGCTTTGCCGTTAACGTTAAACATGTTACACTGACTTGCGTGTTTACAAACCGATTCGGATTTGTTGTGGAGTGCACTTTTTAAAACATAACAATGATCGTTCAAGTTTTGAATGTTGAGAAATAAACGTATTTTTGATACTTTTTATAACTGATAGATGCGAACATTTGTATTTACATGGTTTAAGAAAATTTACTTTTTTGCTTTCATGAAATTACATTTAAATATAATATCAGTTTTCTTTTTGTTTTTCATTTTGATAGTTTTTTAATTTCAACTTTTTATTCTAATATCATATCTGATTCATCAACTCTGTCGCTCGATAATTAATCCACGAATGAGAAGCAATATAGGTTAAGAAAACCACTATCTGAAAGATGTATAAAAAGCATACCCTTTCCTATGTAAAAATTATTGAGTTAAAAAAAATACTTTCCAATACTTAAAATATCCTTTCTTCATTACATTCTTTAATACAAATTATGAGATTTGTAAATGCATAAGTGAATTGCGAAGCCAATCGGTCAACCCGTCATTACGGCGGTAACGAGTTGACAGTCTCAAGCCGGCTACACACGGGCATAGATTATATTAAGGACTAGACACTTAATATCATAATGCCCGAATACCGACTCATAATTTAACCAACACTTCAACTTTTATCCTATTTCAACCAGTGTTCGCCATCTAACGGATAAGAAATTGTAGACGAAATCAAATTATACAAATAACTATACGAATATTATTCCACAAATTGGTACAAGGACTAATTAGTAAGCGGATCTTTGCCCGTGATATACATCTTTATCGACTTTTGTTTCCCTGCTCTCGACCTGATCGCCAGCTCTATGCCGCCACAACCCTATACTTGGGATCCCTTTGAACCAAGGATTAGAGCCCTCACGTTGGCTTAGCGTTGCCGCTTACATATTGGTGGCAGCGGCGGGATTCAAGTTGGCCCCCTGCAGCGATTTGAATGAAGTTTACAGAGAGGATAGAGTGATAAAACTATTCCATAGCCATATATCTCCAGATCTAACTGCCCATGACATTTGTATATGTATAGCGTGGTGTCTGGAGAATAGCTAACACAAGTTTAAGTAGCTTACCGCAATCATAAACAGGTAGCGTTTTTCGCAATAATATAACACTCAAAATTCTTATCTGTCCCTTTTTTTTTTTTTTAATTTGTCAGTGACATGACAAATATACAATAAATAAATCAGGGTAAGAATATTACATAAATATGTTTTGTTTATTTTAAGTAATTTGAAGCCACCAAGCTGCTTCCTTTAACACTTTCCTTACACGCCTGTATCAAACGTTACATTGCATTTAATATACATGTACTAACCTTCTTTCTGTGATCAGTGTATATCTTCAGTCATTAACAATGTTATGTCCGAGAGGACAGCGTCACATGCGGTTTAATACCTTCCCGTGATGTCTAAATAGCCTTCATCTAGACTTTACGTTCTCATTAAGTAGCAGCATATCATATGCTAATTACAGATATACTTTGATGTCGTACGAGTTTATTGTTTAGCACAACCATTTCTGTTGAACTTAGTACTAATAGCTGGTGTGCAATAATTCTTTGTTATTATTTCTGTTCAACCGAGAAAGCCTTTTATTCAAATTTTGGGACATATGATACAATATTATACATCATATCTTTTTCCATACGAATTTAAAACAATGATTTAATTTCCGTTACAAATTCCCTAAGGGCAACATTCATCTTTATAAATGTAAGTAAGTTTGATCGTGTAAGAAAAAACCTTTGATAAAATACAAATAAGAGAATACAATAAAAAAAAGATGAAAACAATATACAGCAATACCCAATTTACATACATTAGGATAAATTACGATGAATTATGAGACGTTTCCGGATGTACACGAAACTCAGATTTCCCCGGTTTGGTACAGTTCTGACACGTTGCGTTGGTGTATCACGGCCCAAGCCAGATTTCCGAAAACCGCACAGCTTATCCCGAGAACCTAAAGTGCAACGGGCACTTCCTTTCTATCGTATCCGGCGGATTGAGACCAGTCAGCGGGTCAAATGTCAGCTGATCATCACGTAGACACGCGGACGACGGCAATGATCATTTATATATTGGCAATACTAGAGTTGTTGTTGTTATTGTTTTACATCGTACACACTTAGAAAGGAAGGAAAATAAGGCATAGGAAATGTTCCGATCGGAAATACTTTTGAATTAGTTTTGTTTCCCGAACAAAGAACTAATACTCCAATTACAACTCATTGTGTGGGCTGTTATCTTTGCTTGCATTCAATTCAATCTAATATTTTCTAATTTTGACTGTAGGAGCAAAACGGCATATCTCTTGGAATAGGCCCTGGACGAGCGCTCAATATATATTATAAGCAGTTTATACTACGTATACCTTGATAACAGAGCCAAACAATATGTATACATTATAAGTGACGTAGGTAATTTGCAATGATTTCACAAGTGACACTTTCAACCAATCGCTTTCTATTAAATATATTCTGATAAATAAAAAATGTAACCTAGTACTTCCTTCCTCATTTGATTATCAATAAACGGACATTCGATCTGATATCGTTTTTAAAAACCGTGATGCTGTCATTGTAATGTTAATTAAACACTTCAAAGTTCAATTTTAGATAAAGTACTCTCGTCAAAATGTAATTTGTAAAGTACTTTCAAGTGTGATGGTGAGATACAATTGACCGCGAGCAGCTATTATAAGTACTTAATTGATGGTCTAAGTACAAAGCCTGTTTAAGTGGAATTTTAAGATAAAAGACTATGGGACTTGACAATCAGGTACACATTTCCGAGATGTGTGAACCAATTAACGTTTAGACAAGGAAGATACACACTGTCTGGTTATGTTACGTGAACCTGCCGAGAGTTAAATACACAAACTCTATTGTTTCTGAGTATAATATAACGGTATTTTGATTTTGATAAACCCTGCTATGATTATGAATATTGGTTTTTGTTGAGTTACTGATGGGCCTTAAGAGTTATCCATTGAATTGAAGTAGTAATTAAACCCCTCGCACGTGTCACACAGGATATTTGAGTAGTTTTCTTACATTATAAACGTAATAAACGACAACTTTAAATGATAGTAAAATAAAGCTCATTTGCTCTGCAGTCAAAATATTGTCAAGCTGTTTTATATGCATCTATACATTTTTTTGTGATTATTTCCTGACATATTTCTCTTAAGTTTTTTTTTTAGAGAACCGATACACACATGTTATTTACTTCAAACTATCTTTTTCTCTCGATCTTTTTTTCCTCATTTTTTGTCTCGGCATTTATAAATGCCATTTATCTAGCGCCGAAATCTTTCTGAGCTTATCTGAATTATAAAATCCCCAACTTTATCCTTACGCGTCTTACAAAATTGTCTGCAGAATAACCAGATAATTAACGGACATCCTTCGACTATATTTAAACGAATTTAGGACATATTTCTTATAAAGAAACATACAGTTCAGTGTCAGATCCATTATCTTGGTTGAAATGAAGCCGTTCCAGCGTTCAGATTCATGTCTCTTTTAGTTATTTATTCAAAATCACAGCAGGCAGTATATTCCGGGGTGTGTGAAATGTTTGGGGGACCGCTGAGAGCAAAAGGATTCTGAACGGCCACCGACTACCGTGTGTTCACAGTGGTGCCAGATAAAATAAACCACTAATTGAAGGAATTACGACTAATTTTTTAAGTACGAAAACGCGACAAATGTGTTTTCTAAGCCAGTTCTTTTCTTAAAGTCATCGTGTCTCATGGTTTAGCAAGCATCTTGATTTTACAAATGAATGCACGGTATGTGACAAAACCACTTCAGCTTCAAACTCTATGAAATGTGAAATATTAAGAAGAAATGCAGAACTTATTAAAACATTAATAAATGTTGGGCGACAATATTATATAGAAATACATTAAATAGGAAACATTCTTCCTTAACGACAAATAAGCGTTGGGAAACAAATAAAATACTTGATCATCGTAAGTAAACGGTTAACGTTTAAGTCTTGTTGGATAAAATGTAATGATAATTTAACTCGGAAAGTATTTTAAAGTAGTCAACTGTGCTATTTTATCCGCTCTATTGTTCGTATTCTTTTGTAAGTTCACTTCAGTTATAGACACAAGCTATTGTTTAATGAAGATATGCTTCAAAGATATCGAATTATATTTAAATATCATACACCGAATATCCTTGTAGACTTCCGAAAAGTAAAGAGGATGTCAAAATTAAGAGCTTTAAGTAAGAGACGTATTAGAAATATTTACAAGGACTTAACTAACGAACAAACAACAATGCAAGAATAGATTTGCATACAATTGATGAGGATAAAATTGGTGTTGATATAATCTTTAAACATGCCATGGACGCAAAAGTAAGCACTCTATCGAAAAACGGGTTTAATTTACATGTATAGAACCTTAAGTGTACCCTCTTGTAATCTCTTATCGATAGTGCAGAATACTGAAATGTTCGAGTACCTGAAAGTAAGAGTAGGGACGTGCCCCAATCGATGTATGTACACACAGCATGAAGAGTCACTTGATTACCCTCATGAACGAGACACTATTCCTACCACTTACAATATCTCCACTTAAAAGTAGAATACTTACGCTTTTCAACCATTTCGATGATATCATCTTCTTCACGTTTTGGAGTAATGGCATGTGATGCTGTCTGGAGGCTGTTATGGTGATGCTGATGTTGGTCCAGCATGTTTGTCGCGGGTAAAGATGTAGCTCCGGTCTGAGGGATTTCGTGATCCATACTTGTTGAGCTGGCGTTTGTGTTTTCCGTCACTCCTACGTGACCGGGTGGGGCCTGCCCCGTGGCCTGGGAGTGATTGTGATTGCCCCCGGGTATAATGTGGTCCGAGCGGAGAGGAGATGTCTGTGGATTCGTGTGAAGTGTCATTCCCATAGAGGACACAGTTGGTGGACTACACGACAAGGTAGTGTACGTAGGTTGTTGCATTGGTGTGACACTCGGCGATGGTGTACTGCCGTAAAGGCAGGAAGAGTTATTACCGAACCCTACCTGGTCCCCTACTCTGTTGTTACCTGTCATGTCCAAGCAGTGTCCATTTCCAGTCATGAAATTCATGTTGTTAGGATAATCTAAAGCACAATGTTCTGTCCAGTTCCCTAGAATGTCTCTTACAGAAAACGGTGTAGATAGAGGATGGTTAAAATTCATCTTCTATAAAGTTGTACCACTATTTCTGATGACAACAAGTGTTGTGATGTTTCTCAACCACTTACTCGCCTGTACTCTACTCCTCTTGAGGATGGTGACATTAACACTTCAGCCAGGGGTATTCGGTTATATTGACGGGCACATGCTGATGTAGTCGTCAGTATAGGGCCGTCGCTCTCTGCTGAAACAGCAACCCCACAGTCAGTATCCGTCTCGGCCAATCACCGCGCCGGCCTCGTATCACGGGACGCAGGGATTTCCTGCTTAAACTTACAGGAAGGAACCTTCCCTTACAGTCATGTGTAGGGCTGATTTACAAACAAGTATAGATACAGAACCACGATAGTCTTAAATAATTGCCGATAAAAAACTTCTTCAAAATCCCCACTTTGACACTTTCATTATTCGTTTTCTTTTCCCTGTATTATTGAAGACATACACATGTCTTAAGATTTCAAGGATTTTCACGTATATCTTATTCATTTCTGCAAATTTTATATTTGTAAATGTTTAACTTTATTATTTGATACCATGTAAAGCAATTATTTCTCAAAATTGTTATCAGTTGTTTTATACTTTACGCTAAAAATGTTTTTTTTTTTTTTTTTAGAAATCAAGGATGCGTTACTGTTTAGTCGTTCGAAAAAGATATATGATAGTTAAAGTGTAGAATCCTTTCAAAATAGGAATGCGAGGGATTTCTTTTCCTCCAAATGACATCTTTCTGTATATAACTGGATACAAGTTGTAGATTACACTGTAAATGGGGGCATTTTTCTCTCGTTTACCGCCCGCGAGCTATGGGTGGTTTGTCTCAAACTTCATCGTATTATTCTCTCGCTAGCCAGCCACTGTACTGCTTGGCGGCAAGTCACAGAACAGTTTACCCAAAACACAACAAAGTATAGGCCGTCTGTCGTCGCAGATCCTCGTTTCCATCTCCCAGGTTTAATTTTATCGAAGCATGGCAGCCGTAACATTAACAATGCCGTGTCCCGACTTCCCAATGGCCCGACTTTCTGTTTTTATCCTATGTCAGCTCCTATCTGGTAACGTATCATTGCTATGTACACAGAAACCCTAATCAGAACTGCCTTGTCAGATACCCACATAGCCGACATAGACCTACGTGAAACGTACGTTTTTAAATGATTGTTCCTACATAAACTGCCAATGTAATAAGACCTCCAATATCTACTAGTATTCTTTATCAATCTTTTGGGGTAAGTGTGGTGTCAACTACAACCAAGTTCTATAAGAAAGTGCTACATCTGTATGGTTGAAATGAAATATGTGTCAAAATGTCACCGCATGTGGTTTCTCTGTTACATGTGTTTAAAACCAAACATGACAATTTGTTAATGTTCTGTGTCTTCTAACCAGTATCGACTTAAAAAACACTGCAGAAATCGCTTCTATGCCATGCACACTAATAGTATATATCATGTCACGAAAGCTAAACCAGGCATAATGCATGATTTTTTTACATGGGAGAAAGTAAGAGTGTATCGCAAATTCCAACCACCTTCGACCAATTTAAAACACAAAGCCCGGAAAACATCGAGTTATTCTAACGTTGTTATGTATTGCGAATCATTTCAACTAAAGTTTTCTATTAAAAAGTTCAGTCCAACCCAAAATGTTAATCCTAAAAACATTTATTGATTCAGTTAGAGCTTACATATTGATTCAAAACGCCAGGTTTGAAGTATAAATGCTGTTAATCAATGTAATTTGTTTTAGCATTATTTTTATATATATATATTTTTATTAGGGACATGCTATATTAGTTAGAGACGAAAATTTGCACTGCTGCAATTGATGCATTCCTTTTTTTGCATTAATCAGTGTGTGATACTTGTTTTATTTTATATAGATGTATGAAATAAATGCTATATTTTGTATACATGTATACCGCATACATGTATACAAAATATAGCATTTATTTCATACATCTATATAATATATTTTAGATTAACGTATGTAATATACGCTTAAACATGCTTTTTAAAAATAACTTGATGTAGAAAAGAAAAAAGTGATATAACGTATAAACATTCGAATTTGTAAAACCGAAACCGTATATGAGGAAGGAAATGATATATCTATATCCGAACGCGACATGTCATAGTCCCCACTAGCCTATTCACTTAATTATATCTATTTCTTTATATGGTTAAATAGTTGGTGTGTGTGTGACATTCTTGATTTTGCAATAAGGTATCTAAGATAACTATTAAGATAAAAACATTTTTTCACATATGTATTCACCCATATCCATTTCTTTATACCAATCACTCTCATTACAATGCATCTTAATTTCACGTCATACTGTCAGTTTGTACCACTATGTTGCTTTAATATAAAAATCTCATCAGAAGCGGGAAGTTTTTCAATTCAATGAAAACAAACGATACAGAAACAAGGCTTCTACAACATATTTCTTTGTAATTATATGTATAAGAATAACTAATTGGAAACTAATCAATTAACTATGATAATTGAACAGTAATTCATATTCGTATCGCATCTTATTAATTACATTTCTATTTGTATTACATTATATAAAACACTCTTAGTCTCTGCAATAAATGCATCGTTTCTGAATTTACAAGCAGGGTTTTAATTGTTTTTGAGCTTAAATTAAATCATAATAAACATATTTAAATTTGTATTATTGAATTGTTTTGACAATTTATAAAATGTTTTGAAAATTAATTAGGTTATATAATGTTTTTAATATTGCAGTCAGCTCTTAAAATGTTCTCTGACGATTCTATGCAATAAAGTTGCCAATCATGATAGAATCATTTTGTACAATCTAAACAAATGTATTCTAATTTCTTGGAGAATTTCTTCAAGAATATACCAAAACAGATAATTTAAGCTGAATGCAATGGTTAGTGCATGGATGTTACGGTATACAATTGTTTATAAATCAGTACCATTTACATACCGTCGGTCCGTAAAGGATGTTCTAGACTGGACTTGTATTAAATTGACCATATTTTTCTGAATAAATAGAAACAAATATATCATTCCTTTAAAACAGAAGGATAAAATCGGAATTTCTGATAAATATAAAGAACGGAATAAACACCGAGAAAAAACAAAAACCTGCAAAAAATGCAGTAGAAACCATGAGTTTATTAACTACAGTTATAATGTAATATGTACTTAACTCGAATAAATCTCGGACGTTTAAGGCTGAATGAAACGGTAAATTCACGCAATCCTGGTACGTTGTGAAGGACAAATGATTTCAAGTAAATGGCGAATCATTTTATACTTTTTAGATATGCTCCAGAATAAAATGCATTGCCTACATATTACTTGATACAATTTAGCATTGAACATTTTTCGTTTTGCTAGCTGGGACTTATGCGCGGGCATTCGAATGTGTAAGTGTAGCTTATTATGATGTCTGATACCACCAGTATCAATTTACATTATTCAACAAGCACACATCCTTGAGACATAGTTGATACATAGTGCCTAAAATGACCCCTGTGTTTTGTATGGTCAGTGGGTCACTTTAAAAGGCTAGCTTCCTGTCTGGTCTTCGATCTGTAATGATTTATCGCGAACGCTCATAAGTATTAAAATTACATGGTCATTTAAATAAGAAACAGTGTACTGATATATTTACGACTCAAATAAGAAGTGTAGCGTATGATCTTTTCTTTGAATTTATCACATTGACCTATTCTGTTTTGATGTCCCGTCCTGTCCTTCGTTTTTATATTGAGTTTGGATTTTGTCCTTGTTTGTTGACGCTGTGATCTGTTTTTTGTTTTGTTTGGAAGAAATGTTTATCATATGCAGGCATTTAGTTGAATATCAGTATATAATGCATCGGCTGTAGTGGATTAAGATGTTAAAACACCTTGCTTCCTAAGCTATGTGAAATGATCTAGCTTTCCATTCTCTCATTAACATTTTACAAGGTGAACATGTTCAGATATAAACCTACACTATCTAGTAAGGGTCACTCCTTAAATGAACTTTTACATAGATTTCTTAAATAATTTAATCTCAGTTTTACGTGAAAGGATTATCATATATATACTTAATGCACTCAACCTAACTGCATTTGTTATACGCCCCCTTCCAACTGTGACAAAAACAGCAATTACATCGTCAATAACAGAACACAATATTAACATAATTATGTATTTAACAAGTTTATGCAGCGAATATTACTTCGTTTGTCAAATGGCATTTATGACGAGATGCTGACCAACCATTTAGTTTTACAGCAAATTTGCAGACATTGTTGCCAATAGGATACTTGTTCTATAAGCAAGCATGATAGGTTATGGATGATTTGTCGTTTCGAAAACAATATTCGTTTTAAATGAATAGTTAAGCTTATTTGCCGAGTTAAAAACATTAAAACAAAACAACAAAACCGATCATTTGTTGAATTGACGACTTTTTTGGCTTTATATCATAAAAGTTATCGTCATTTTGTTGGTATTGTTTGTTATATCATAAAAGGTTTTGTCCATTAATTGATTGTAAACATTATTGTTTACCTTTGGAAAAGTATCGTGTATTCGTTTAAAAAATTGCAAACAGTATTGCTCATATAATGAACAGTATCGTTTATTCGTTTTCATTAAATAAATGGGCGAACCTTGTTCCGAACCCGCCATATCATGCAAATGCTCGTTAAAATGAAATTTCAATATAAAATTAAGTTATTACGTAGCGTAGTGTTATCATATATAAATAGTGAAGGTTTGAACTTAAAATTTGTTTAAATAAAATAACATCGATATATTGAAATAGTAGAAGGGCATTTAATTGAAGGCGTTGAATGTACCTTTAACGAAATTTAATCGAAAAATAAAACCAATGACCAAAATTATATCGCACTTCCTTGTAGTTCTAGATCCCTTGTTTCCGACAAAAAAAGTTCAAATTTGAGTGTAGCACAATCGCATTATGTTTGTACTGAATGTATCGATTCTTTCATATAAACATACGCTGGTATCAAGGCCCCATCAAATCCATTTCAGTACTCAATGCTAGAGGCATTTTTAACAGAAATAGTTCCGGATTTGTTGGACTATGTAAAGTACAACTTTTATTATATCTGTTTCAAGACGCTTATTAAAATGCCAAAACTTACTCGCTGTAAAACAGATGAATGATTACGATAAAAT